AGTCATTTACTCATATTTCAGTAGTTTATATAAAATTCAATTTTGTATAAATGATTTATATTCATTTAAGAAAAATGGGCTAAATTTAATGATAATAATAGTTGAAGTTGAAAAATAGTTTTTATAATTGACTTGAAACAGGCATTTAGTCTACAAGTTCATAAGATGTAAATTAAACACATGTCTTAACTCATCTTAATCTTATTTGTCAGTAAAAGGCAGTCATTCAAATGTGAAAGGAATTACCAGTTTGACTAAATAAATCATCAGTTTCTTTATTCATTTGTTCAACTGAATCTAAATTATTGCAATACTGTGATGATGATGATGATAATAGGCAAGCTATCCTATTCAGAGTGAATAAATGCATTTCTTTGGCTTTCATAACATTCTAGCTAATAAGAAAAGTTAGCTGAAGTAAAAGTTTAGCTTTTTCATATTAATTATACTCTGGTAGTTAATTTTCTTAGTTCAACATGTAGACTAAAAGAGTTAGACGTATTGATGCTTAGACTGCATATTAGCTACCTCCAGGTTGAAACTAACTGTTCATAAAGAAAATTTTCAAGTTTCTAGGTTGTGAAAGACTTGAATTCATAGCATACAGTATTCGATTTACAATAATGATATCTGTAGACATATATAGATATCTCTATTTTCACATGTCACTTTAGATTCATCTGATAACTCAATTTCTAAGTATTTCTCTCTTCTGAAAATTTATATATGAGGATTTCTTTAGCAGATTTACCAATGAATATAGTCTCAGTGATCTCCTTGTTTGACACTTTAGGCTAAGTAACGATTAGTACTAAGTTCAGTAGTAGGTAACTGTATCTGTATAGGATTTGGAATAAAGCCAAGCCCTATGTTCTACTAGGAACCCAAGGTAAATATATCATTTATAGAACTTGAGAACCTGTGAAAAAAGTCATAGAGGACTTGTCTTATTCTTATTAAAATTCTTTCAAGTTCATTAATTGCAAATAAATTCTGAATACAAAATTGTCTATTTCTTTTATAGATTTAAATAGAAAGAAGTTGTTTTTAAAAATTCGGGTTACTTTGTTAAATTTTGAGAGTTTCAAAGTATTTATCCTCATATTATCCGTCTTCTATGAACTTCACGTGGTCACATTAATTACATTACAATTGTTTTATTGAGACTGACAAAAAAAATCATTAATTGAACAATTTATTCCATTACTTTCTATCATTTATCAAGGATCATATAGAACAGATGTGAAACTGTTAACTTGTATACCCTTTTTTTTTATTAAGATGAATCCAAGTACAGTTTTATAGGGATGAATTAGTTGACTTGTATTAAAGTTTAATGGATTATTGTCTGAGAAAAACCCTGTTTTTTCACATTTAAACTTTGAATTGATGCTTCATTTAAGTAAAATTTTTAATGGCATACATCGTGAACCAAAAACAATTCCACATGTAGCTAGTCAACGCCTATTCAACACAGCTGAGGCTGTCTTAATAAGACTGATGAAACCTGATCGTTTTACTCAAAAAGAACATGTTCTAACTTTATGACCCCGTCAGCCTTCAATAAACTAAAGGCCACTCCTGTCTTTCTTATTTATTGTCTTTTCGTTTATCATCACCTCCATCTATGCATATATCATCCTAGTGTTGACGAACTAAAAAGAAACATTGATTTTCTTGCAGTCCCTAACTGACATTCCATTTTGAAAATGTATTTGCCTCAGACTTGGCTTCGATTACGCTGTACTATTCCATATTATAATTGTAGAAAGTGATGAGAATTTATTGAAAAGAACATTTCTCCTTCAGATTCTTTTTTTAGTGCTATTTGTTTGTAATATGGTTAATCACCATTAGAAAGGCATAAAATCTTTATATGACTTTTGATTATTTAAGAATTTTGGTGTTGCCTTCCAGTATCAGTGTTCAGTTTTCTCTCTCTGGAGAGCTGTGATTATCGGTATCCTCCTTATAAAGTGAAGTGAGTATTGGTGGTTAGTTACACATTTTAGAAAATATATATGTCAGTAGCATTCTCGAAAATACCTTACAATAATGTTGTGGATTATTTCCTTTCGCAATGTTTACGTATTCTAGTAATACTTTCACAGTGGCCAAACACAACTTAAATAATCAATATTCAAGAATACTCCTATCAAGAGGAAACATTTATTCATTGCCTCATTGTTTTTGAAGACATTTTAAGTAATACTAGGCACTGGTAACAAGCATGTTCAAATTCATATATACTCGTCAGTGTCTTCCACTTTCATTGAGCAACAGCTCTGTTTAATTAATTAATCTGGGACAATAATTTTTGGCGTTCTAGCGTTAATAGTAAATATTTAGTGTGTATGTCTGTCTGTGCAACTTCCCATCTTTTCATCAGTTAGCCTAACATAGGATTGATAGATTTTACTATTGCTGTTATTGTTTTGAGTGTTTTTCATCCTTTTATTATCGATTAGTTGAATCGATTAGACTTGAGGTCAGATTGTTATGGAGTAGTGAATTTCCTGAAATAAGAATTATTATATCATTGGTGGTTAAACTGAGACACATTATTCATACTTCTTTTCAAAAATGTATGATGATTAAGTTAAGAACAATGATTCAATGGGGGTACTTAGAAAATGGGCTTACAAAGCAAGTATTTCTGCTTATTCCCTTTTTGTTGGCTATAAATGAAATATACAACTTTGCCTACTACTTGAATATGTATATGATGGATAGTGGCTAACAGTAGAAATCAGGACGCCTTTTTCTTTCATTTAAGACTTACCAACTAGATGTACCTACTTCTCAGTGAGTGATGTTGTTCCCGCTAGAGCTGGAAAGCAGAACTAATTGCTTCAATTGCCAAAGTGTCACCCACTAGTCAGTGAGTAATGATAGCCACTGCTTGTGTGATGAGTATGGCTTGGTTTTGATATTATACCTTGTGAATCGGGAATATTTTACTCTGATTCTATTGTTGTCTGTGTACTTTCAGATGTTGAATAAACCGGCACACATTTTAAGAATAACTTGATATAAGAATGTAACTTAAGTATCGTGAATTAGTTTACTTATATGTTGTCTAATTATCATTTGTTGGAAATTATATTAATCTACGGCTATGCATCGTGTCTAGTGAAACGGTAAACAAACAGTTATGTGATAACGGATTATCAGCTATGTTACGACATATTTTTAGATAGCTCACAGACCAGTGACCTTACTAGCACTTTCTGCGTTGTTTGTCTTAAAAACATTTGCCAACACGTAGACAAGACAGAACTCTGCATACAGTTGCATAGATTGATGTTTGCATTAGAGTCTTTTGTAGCACATTATTTATTATTTGTCCCTTGGGTTCCTAGTGGAACATAGAGCTTCAACAACACATCTCCATTCCACTCTCTTCTCTTCAATCTTTTCAACATGGCTCCACGACTGCCCACAAGCTTTCATTTCTTCTTCACATCATCTCCTCCATGTCACCCTCGGACGCTCAACTCGTCGTTTCGCCTTGAATTCCACTCGACAACCTGGCCTGGCGCGTGATGTCCCAATCGGTCTTCTCAGTGTATGACCAGTCCAATCCATCTCCACTTTCTGCCTCTGTATATTTGTGGGGCAATGGGTTCTTGGTTGGTTCGTTGCCAGTCAGCCAGTCAGCCATCTGGCCAGAGTTCCTTGTTGCTTATTCTTTCTATCTTCTGATGTGATCTTCATTATCGAGTGAGCGTAGGCGGTAGCTATTGATGAATGTCTGTAGTTTGTTGGAAATTCTTTCGTAATGCACCAAGTCTCTTAGCCATCACATAGAAGCACTGACTTGACTGACATTGGTGTTGAAAATCCGGATATTGTTCACGCTTTATGCTGATTGCAGTGCAGAGATCTGCTTACTGTTTTCAGGTTAATGAAGTCCTGTCTTGCTGTCTTTCCGATCCTGGCTTTGACGTTCGCATCTGTGCCGCCTATAGTTGAAACGATGCTGCCTGCCTAGGTAAGTGAAAGTGGCTACTTCCTTTAAGTTTCTCCCGTTGATGGTGATTGCAGCTTGTTGTTGCTGATGTTGTTGGTGTTAGTTGAGTATCTTCATCACCTCTGTCTTCTCTATATTCACTTGAAATCTCGTCTTTGCTGCCCTGCCCTGCCTCTTCTGTCAACTTGTTGGTTTTGCCTGTAGATCTTCAAGTTTGTGTGACATAAACTAATTTAAGTGGAATAAAATAAAACTATTGCATCCACTTAGTGGAATCCAAAAAGAAAACGACGAGTTTGGCGTCCAAGGGTGACATGGAAGAGATGATGTGAGGAAGAAATGAAAGCTTGTGGGCAGTCGTGGTGTCACGTTGAAAAGACTGCAGAGAACAGAGTACTACTGAAGCCTTATAATCTACTAGGAACCCAAGTAACAAATAATAATTATAATGATCTTAATAATAAATCCACTCAGCAATAACCGTGTTTATTGTCCAACTTAGAGATTTGTGAAGATTTATTAATTTATTGATTTCAGGTAGACATTCATCAAGGACTGACATCATTTGGAGAATCACTGCAAACCTAGGAGCATTGAACAGGTGTTTCATCATAGAAACTATTAATACTCGCTTCGAGAAGAGATTACCAAAGTACGAATAAGAAATTTTGACTGGTGGGCCAAATCAAATCGCATGTAAGGACAGTTAACCAACGGCAGCATTGGATGGGGGTTACACTATACTGTGAACTGATAGAAGTAGGAAATGTGGACCATTGGATAACGATTCAGCAATTAAATGGTAACGTGTTGGTCACGTGACTTAAATGTCCTGGGTTCAATACCTAATGGAATCATGGATGCGTAATGCTGAGGAGTTCCATACGACAGTGAAACAGCCATTCAGAGCTTTCAGGTTTCAAATGATAAATGATATGAGTCCATAATGAATATTTTTTATCATTTATTCGAAATCAATGAAGTAGAAAGCATTGTATAAATAAAAATAATCCATTCAGTAACTTACATTTTGTATACAATGCTAATAGAAGTGAGACAGCTGCAGCAACCATTAAAACTATTAAAGTTACATCTTGTAAAGCCTCCCACATTAGTTGAAAAAAACTTTTTGGCGGTGTTGGTGGTATTACATTCGTTCCAAAGACTTGTCGACGTTTGTCTAAATCATGACTTGATATTCCTACATACAGAAGGAAAAAAGTAAATAATAACATAAACATTTCCAAATATTTCATTTATAGCTAACTGAATTTGTTTTGATGTGTCAGCTAAATGACTTCTTGTAATGCCTTTCAGAGTGTTTTTTTTAACTTTTAAGAGGCTGAAAAACATGTAAGATTGATAATGTTTTTATAGCAGCTTTCAATACATGATCGATATAAGCTGAAGGAGACTGAACCCACCGCTGGTACACAATAGCTACTTTACGTTGGACTGTACTCAAAGCCATTGGATCCTATATTGAGCATATTAGTTGCAGTCGGGTGCTCCAATGTGATATCTAAACTTAGTCAAGTCATGATACAATGCAGTTATAATCAGAGTTATCAATGAACAGTTGTAAACATATTTAACTTAACTGACTTCATTCATTCATTCATTCATGTCTCATTAGAACTTCGTTCTGATATATTTGACAGCCTTAATGCATTGTCATAGGGGTTTAAATTGACCTATGTGATTGTTGATACTGTCAAAGTGTACAGCTACCGAGGAAATTCATACGGATAATCATTTATGGCGTTAGAATACTTTTCAATAGGATAGATTTTTCAAAACGCGTTCATATTTAATACTAGTTTTTAAATCATATTATGATATTTCTGATAATTTAGATGTAACGGGTCACTTAGAAGGAATTATACTTGTTTGCAATCATTTGGAAAGAGAATTTATATCTATCTGGAAATTCAAAATTCTATGTTTATGGTGACGTTAAAAACTTTTTCACTGAACTATTCAAGTAACTTCCTATGAGACTTTGTTAGGTTAACAACTCGATCATTGGATGATAACTAATGTAGGTTTCAGGTTGTCTTCGCTATAAATATCATTATAACTTAAATACTGATGAAACTGAGAGATATATCATCAGTTAGTGTAATGCAAGCTATCCATTTTTCTATAAAATTAGTTTTTTTATTATTATTGTATTCTATAAACAATTAATAGCTACAAGGTAGATTTACAATGCGTTAAATCATTCTTTACGGAATAAAAACAACCGAACTCAGTATCGATCAGCCCATTGCTTATTTAACTATACTACGGACGATCCTGTGAAATAATTTCTGTAGAAATTCATATTCAGCTTTCGTAGCTTACTAAGCTGAATGAAGATGATTTTCTATTCTTCTGGAAGGCTTAGTAAGATGATTTGTAACGACTGAATTTTCATTATACTATTCTTAATGATTCAATAAGTTATATTTATTTAACATGAACAGAACTAGGAGACTTCATCATTTACTGAAACGATTGAAAGTCACACACACACTTAGGTTCTTTGCATAAAAAACATTCATGTATATTGGTTAAGTGATTGAAAATTAACTTCAAAGCATTTTAGACAAACAATGTGCCATAAATTCTGATTAAACAGTAATCGATGCATTTATCACTTAAAATTCATACGTTAGAGGGGATACCTTCAAATAAACTCTGACTGTGACTTCTAAAACTTAAAGTCTGAAAAGTAAACCGTAGTGTTCACATATTTTTCTAACCATAATGATTAAAAGTCTTATGAATTAGCCTCTGGGGAAACTTATTCAAATAGCATAATGGCATAGGACACAGTGTTAAATTAGCTATCTTCTACTTCACATCTCAGCTTCAATTATGGCTACTGTGATGATAGTTTCAAGTTTTATACCTGAACTGTCTGATGAGTCCTAAACAGAGCGAAACGCACACATTTTCGATTTCAATTCTAGCCACTAAATAGACTACAATGCAATGAATATCCAAGCGGTATCGATGTATCCGCATAGGAACCCGTCCGTCAACAGAGGTCAGGCAATTCGACCCTCTATAGCAACGGGAGATTGCAGGTATCAATAATCACAAACATCTAATACCTGTTGCATAAGTGATGGCTCTCGTGCTCCCAGTGACCTAGTAGATAACACTTTAGTGCTTGATGCAATGGATACTGGGTTCAAGTTTCAATTGGAATAACATCACTCACTAGAGTGCAGGTAAAGAGTTCCAAATCGGATAAAACAGGTGCACTGGATTCCACTACAAGCCACCAAATAAACTACAATACAATTTTTATCGGTGGTTTGCAGGTAATTGGCTTTTCCTGTTTTTGTAATTAAAACCTTTTCTGTTTCTTCCATCTGAAATAGTTAGCTCGTTAGTTAAATACCAGTTGTTTTTTAGGAATTAATTAACTCCTTCAAATTATTTTTATATGTTGGCCTTTTTTCCTATGAGTAAGCTTGATAAACTTGAAATGTTAGATCATCAAGTTTATCACAGATACGAAAATAAAGACACAAGTAATACTGTACATCTGACTTGAATCTGATCTATACTTGACTGATTGCATAGCCAAAACATCAGACTAAGTCTAATCACTGTTCTTCAGACTTGGTGCTTTAACTGAAGACATGTTTGGCTGAGAAGAGGAAGAGTTACCTCCAAATGTTTAATGTGCAGGAATCAGGAGTAAACAGCAAACTAATTTTCCCATTCTGTAACTAACCAAATCAACTAGAAATTATGCTCGAAAATCATGTTACGGCACAGAATGTTCTGAATGAGTTTGCTCAGGTGGCATTTCTCTGCTAGAATTATGAAGTCCCTTTTTAGAAGGGTATTTTTACAACTGAATACCACTTCAAACCTCATCCCAGAGTTGCTTCTATCCATTTACTCTAAAGTTAAAGATGATATACATTTCTTCTAATGTTTTAGGAATGTTACGTCAATACATCCAAGAAATCTATGTGGGTGTTTGTCTACTTTGGTGAATTTATATATTCAAAGGTATGCTTAGAATACATATTCACGTGTACAGTATGTAATACCCAAAGAAAATGACTCAGAAATGAGGTGACGGAATGGCTATTTAAAACATGACACTTAAATGGTGCCTCATCACTCAAGTTCATCGCTCACCCATACAGGCAGTTACAGATTACAAAAATATGCACCATTAAAGCCACGAAAATAGGTGAAATCGTAACTTAAAAAGGCTCTTCTGCAAGTGAAGTAGTTTTCAAAGTTTGGAGGATTATATTGTAAGGTAGTGTTAGTAACGGATTAGTTGCTTGGTAAAAAGTAGACTGTCCATTATTAAATGATATTCGATACTTCAGGACCTAGCAAGGCTTCATTTCCCTTCAATAAACGGTGATTGAGATCACTGCCCATTCATTAGTTCACAGTATGATAACAGTCGCTTATTCCTAATTCGTTGTGACAGTCACCTAAGCTAAAGCAGAAAGCTAAAACTGGGACAAATGTGCATATATGTCTCCAAGGAAAAAGTACATGGATGTGGAAAAACTATACTATTTAGGCATTAGATGTTTATTATTGTTATCGCTGTCATTAACACTAGGAATAACCCCTGGGATGCTCTGACAGAGTTAGAATATTTTCACAGTTCTACCTTGGATAACACAGTATAAGTCACACAGATTTTAGAATCTTTGACAATCGGTCTGAGTAGTTCAGGGAGGTATGGGCTTCATGGTTTGGTTCCGTTGAGTTATCGAAATTGGTCGTTGAAGGCTGTATCAGGTATGGTTAAGTATCAGTTACAGTGATGTAAATACACTTATGCCCTTTTGTCATCTTAATCAGTACATCATATTTTTCAGTTTGCTTCAACTTTTACTCTTTTTACCTTAACATTACTTTTTTTAATGACTTTCGATCACATTAACATCATTTTCTTACCTCCTCTCTTACTACTCGCTACCTTAATGTGCTGATGTAAGGTGAAGTAACCTGAATAAGAATTCAGATAAATGAAGCTCTGTGCTGAAAATGTTTATTTGGACGATGGGCTAAATCTCTCTAATTTTTTAGTACAGATCTTTCAACCCTAGAATAATAGACTTTCTTCGGAATGATAAGAAAAGAAGTGATGTAGAATACAATAAAGGAGTTTGATATCTGATTAAATTTCCATACAATTTTTTCCCCCTCTCTGAATATTACATCTATTATTACTTCCACATCAAAATAACAAGCTGATAAACATTGGTATTTTGTCTCACTTTCTAGCATTACACATATGCGAGCAATTGAAAGTCATTTATTCAGTGGGACTGGTATAAAGTACAGCTTAAGAACCACTTATGTAAACATATACTTGTCTGTCAAGTAAATAAGAATAGCACTAATTCAATAAACGTCAGCGATTAAACAGAGATCAGAAACCTTAACCGAAAGGTTAACAGTTTAGTGTATAAATGAAACAATTGTATCTGAAGCGTGTATTATAAAACAAAAATGAAGTATGAAACTAAAATTTCTTGTTCTCAACCTTCACTTTACGGTCTTAAATAGAAAATCTGAATGTTATTCATGACTTTACTTAATTTAACTCATTCACGAATTTCCAACTTCAGAAAACTGACTGGTAATTTTGTTTTGCAGGACTAGATTCTCATCATAGACCACTTCGAATGTATCTATTTACATACTTTAATGATGCAAAAAAAAAATCATATACTGATACGACTATCACAACTGTTTATTAACAATTCTGATGTATGCCCATGATCATTTTAGATGAAATTGGTTTCTCATCCAGAAACAATCTATACACTAGTAGATATTTTTAAAACTTAACTCAGTTTCATAGACTGAATAAGTATGATAGAAAGATATATGTCGCTAAAATGTAACTACTGCATCTAGGATCTCTTATTTTATATTTTTACTGGGAAATATCAATGATGATTCAAAATTCTTCTCTTTAATTCTTCGCTGTACTGAATAGTGTTAAAGGAAATATACAATAGTCTCATGGAAAGATAGAGTAAAAGATCTGCACTTTAAATATCAGAGATCTTAGCACACAGTCAAGATAGATTAGTTTCAGATATAGGATTATGTAAATTATTTTAACTCACTACTGAATGGTTTGCTAGAGTATCTTCTTTAAATTTTTGCTTTATCATTTCAAAGATACATATGTACCTAAATAAGGTGTAA